TTTTTTTTTACAAAAAAATAACTCAATAACAAAGGAAAACCCAATGTACATGCTCTTACAGTGTACCTGTAAGGTAAAAAATATATAGCAGTTGGTCAATCTTGTCTTTCTTATTATCGTTTCTTTGCACTTCGTATATATTTACGTACATTTCACCCAGAAAGGGAAGGGCGTTACCATTTGATATCGAGTTGAAGCCAGAACCCTTGGTAGGGGGAGGGTGGGGGTCGTTTTGGTGAAGTATGAAATGACAGAACTCGAGCCCGTGATAAAGGTGTACAGTTGTAATTATTGCGCCAGAGGAGACTGGAGTCGAGTGAGGAAAATTACTTTGCATTGCGTAAGAAAGATACAGTTCTTCAGACCCTGTCCATTTTGTATCTTCTAAAGCTGTTTGGTGTTGTAAATCCATTGATCTTCGTTATGGATGATCCTGCTCTCTTGGGTGAGTACATTCAAATTGTTTTTGCTCGTTAAAATCATTACAGGCCATTGCTCTATGTGTAAATGGTTGGCGATCTTCATAATCATACGAATTAGATCAAAAATATTCTACAAACTCCTTCCAGTGGATATGTTTGTCGTACAAATGTTGATATTCAGTAAGGGATGTTGAATTATTCTGGTGTCTTACAATATGTTTTACGATAATTTTGTCGAATATAATCAACTGGATATAATAAGCTCATGACATAATACAGTACTCTGTACCTACTCAGCAATTTATAGCAAATTTCATGTGATTAATTCGATAAGCTTACGGCACATCAGTTTCACCACTGACTGAGCAGTCAATGTCTCGTTTTGGTACATGAAATGGCTGATTGTCACAGTCAAACATTTGCTAAAATATACCTTGGGTATCACTCCTAGTTGTGCAAGTGCCCTCAGCCCTGGCAGAGTCACCTTTTGCAAGGTCAATGGGTTGATTCAAAAGAACCTTTAAGTTTTAGTTTATTTTGTAATTTATACATTATTAACTTTAACTTTGTAAGTAGAATAGCTAAAATTTTTAGACTTTTAACTGTTAGCTTTTTAGGTATGCAGGGCCCCTCTGGAAACCACATAGGCTACCTGTTAAAATATCTTTATTATTAAAGTTGACATTTCCCAAAAAGTGAAAATCAGAGAAAAGGCTCAGTGTTACATCCCTTTAGTTGAGTCTGTGGGCATGCTTTTCCCCAGAAAAGTTTGTAAACTACGTTAGACTTGTTTGATTTATTTTTAAGCAGTTTTCTAAATTACTAACCTAATGGCTGATTTATTAACATCAAAAATCAATAAAACTGATTTGATGTTGATTTTGTGACATCCACAAAACTAAACAAGACTGTAAATGCCTTCTAGGGACCTTTTGAATTCAGTTATGAGTACCTGCTTAGCCAATCAGATGTAGAATTTGCCAAGTCAGCCTCTAGATCATGCTAAAAGATAATTATGATATATCTAGTGTGTTGATTATAATTTAAAATACCTCATTTTCAATGTTGTGTTTGTTTGTTAGCACTCACTCCACACACTGTGGAAGATCCTGATTCAGCAGCCACTAGACAGCTTGTAAACCCTGAGCGAGTCCACAGACATGAAGATCCTTATGACTTGGTTGTGTTAGCTCAAGAAGTACAGAAAGCTGATCAGTTTGTCCGATGTGCTGCTAGTAATAAACTCATACTGATTGCAGAACAGATTCGTCATCTTCAAGAACAAGTAAGCTTTTCCTGAACAGATTTTAAACCCCTGGCTAATGCTCCTTAAAGGCTGCTGCACACTAGCTGATTTTTTATCATAGAACTGCTGATTTTTTGCTAGGGTCAAATCAGGTTAAAATTTGTCAGGCCAGCAGCTTGCCACACACTAGCCAATTATTTGTCGCAACAAACCACGTTAAGGCTAGGGGCGGAGTCATCCAAAATCAAGATGACACCTATTCCACTGATGTGACTTTCGTGACATTTCCTAATTGGTTGAGACAAATCATCTTGGTCTACCGCACACTAGCTGACAAGGCCCAGCAAGACGTTTTGAGATTTAGCACTGTCAGATATTGCCTGACAAGCCCTGATCTTGTTGTAGCATGTCTGAATTCACCGCACACTAGCCAGGAAAAGGAGATTTTTTGTTGGGCAACAAAAAATCAGCTAGTGTGCGGCTACCATCATTTTATCGTGTAGACTTATCTGATTGTTGGGAATAAAGTAAAATACAAAAATTTGGAATAGTCCATGGAACAAATTTATCTGAATTATCACAAGTCCTGATAGCTAGATACCAGTCTCAACTGGATGGAGTGGTGTTCTCACAGTCCATCTCAATCCAAGTATATAAAAGGGTCCCAGCAAATTGTTGGGGCAACCTAGAAAAAGCCATCTGTAACAATCCATTAAAAGGTAGATAGCAATACTACTTTAAATCTCATGCTTCAAAAGCCAGAATTCAGTACCTGCCTGGAAAGCAATCTAGATATTTTGAATACAGACTTTGTTTTTTAAGCCTCTGACAGATGGTATCAGAAAAAAATGGAGGGAGTTTTAACAGCTCTTAGTGAGAAGAAGTGCTGCCCAATGTCTATATAGCAATGTTTCTGCGAGACTGCGCCATTGGGGGAATCCCTCCTTGCATTCAGAGATGGCCCCCAGAAAAACAAAAAGGCTATTAACAAGGCTATAGGCTTAACACAGGCATAGTATTTTAGAAGCCATCCCAGGACTTGAAATTGCAACTGATACGGTCGCCAATGCAACTAGCATTTCATCCTTGGTGAACAAAACTTCTTGTTTAGTGCCATAATGGCGACTACATTTCTCTGTGTTGACTATCAATAATGGTTATTTTGTCACACATTATGTCCTTCTAGAAAATCATGTTGAAAGATCGTTGCTTCTACAACACTCAACATAAGAAGAGAAGTCAATCCATCCTTTTGCATTGCTGTATTGATTCTCTTACATCACAAAACTTCCAAATGGCTGACCATGTTTTAAGTCGCCTATAATGCATTGCAAACCCTTGATCATTGACTACGTCATGTATGCCTATGGATTGTTCTCTTGTAATGCACAGATCCTTCACATCTGAACAGCCAGGCATGAACAAAACAACAACTGCCACCTTCTGATTCACAAGAAACTTTATTGAGTACAAACACTTCAAAATTTTATCATAGATCTCAATAAACTGCTTTATTTTCCTTGGTGCTCTGATGCATTTTTTTCTTCTGTAGCTTTCAATTAATGGGCTCCTTTCCTAAAAAAATGGCCCCTAAAAAAGGTCTTCAGGGGCCACTTCGGCCCTCAAGTAATATTTTCTGTCTGAAACACTACATATGATATTTTATCTTGTAAATGATTACCACTTTAGACACTGTTTCCCCTAGTTGGGAAGGCCCTCTGGGCCTTCCAAGAAACTACCCACCTGTTTTTCTAAACTACCCTCTTGATCCAAACTTATTGAAACCCCTGGTATAGGGAAAAGTGCAGAAAGATTATCATGGTAAATCATAGGCTTTGTGGTGAAATTAGAAAGACGTTCATGAGCTGGAGATATAGAATTTGATATTGAACGTGTGGCCTTCCAAACACCATGCAGACACTCTATTCTCTGGACTACAATACAAATGCAGCACTATTATTGTAAGTGAAACAAGGTGATGATCACTTGTCTCTTGGATTAAAGGCTGACTATAAATACATTATGTAAAATTATCATAGGTAAGGTAAAGTCTGCATACAAGCCAAGGGGATCATCAGGCCGGAGCTTATCCCAGTTTCTGTAGCATGAAGCGACTGGAAGTATTTCTACTCCCCCCTGGATGGGATGCTAGTCCATCACAGGTTACTTTACCCCCAGCATTAAATTCAACAGTACCAATTTATACACCTGGGTGGAGAGAGGCACTGCGATAGTTAAGTGTCTGACCTAAGAGCACAGCACAATGTCCCTGGTCAGGGCGTGAACCCGGACCGCTTGATCCCGAGTCGAGCGCACTAACAATGAGGCCAAGAAGTGTAAAATTATCATAATTTATGCAAATTTTGTTTTTGTTCAGATGTTTTTTTGTGGACTTTTGAAGTCATTCTGCCACAGGCTAAGACTTACTTTGTTGATTTTCAGGCCAGGAAAGTGTTAGAGGAGACCAAACGAGATGCTGAACTCCACCATGCTGCTTGCAACTTCAAGAAAAGACCAGGCCAAATGTATTACCTGTACAAAAGACAAAATGGAACAACATACTTCTCAATGCTTTCACCAAAGGTAAAAAAAGTATGGATGATTTAGAACATGTTTTACAGCAAGCATGGTCCACGAGCAAGATCTTTACAGCAAAAAGTTAGGCCATTTTAGTGCTCAGACATGATAACAAACCAGACTATAAAATGATGTAGGCTATTTCAAAACTTTGTCAGACAATGTCCACTGAGCAACTGTTATTTCCAGTACTGACTTCCTGTCATCTCATGAAAGAAAATGGTTAGAAAGCTAACTACAGTCAAGTCTAGATAATTTGCAGGCATTTTTCAGTTACCCACACTTTTCCTCATGGTTCTCTTACATTGCTATGGTATTGAATTTGTTTGTGCAGTTAGACTGCTCTTTTAGCTTTTCTCCTCTATAACAACTATTGTCAGTAATTAAAGTGTTTTCATTGAACGTTAATGTGAAAAAGTGAATAGTGTAATTGTAAGTAAACTCAACTGTAAAGTAGTGGTAGAAGTTGGTAATAAGTTAGTTAATGTTGTATTTGGTGTGAAATTTTATGAAAGAGAAACATAATGCTAGTTATGTTAGTATTGTAAGTAACATTAGTAACAAATAGGGGGGACAGGGGGCGGGAGCCCGGGATAATCGGGGGGGGGGGGCAGAGGGTCAGAAAGCAAAGGGCAGGAAAGACCAGGAAGTGGGAGAGGAAAGGGCAGGAAGCGGAAGAACCCAAAATGTTTCTTGACTTACATTTAGCTTATTTTGAGACTTCTGGACTGACGGAAAAATAAAAATTTGCTCTTGGGCTGAAAAATTGAGGCCTACTTCCAGTAAAATTGGAAACCATTTTACGGTGGTTACGTCATAGGTCATGAAATGTGAGACATGAGATGTTAAAAAAAAATGAGAAATGTGAGACATGTCAATCATGTTATCTGTGTCTAGTACATGTATAAGACATGAGTAAGAAGAGCAAGGCTGAAAAGAAAGGAAAAAAGGAAAANTTTTTTTTTTACAAAAAAATAACTCAATAACAAAGGAAAACCCAATGTACATGCTCTTACAGTGTACCTGTAAGGTAAAAAATATATAGCAGTTGGTCAATCTTGTCTTTCTTATTATCGTTTCTTTGCACTTCGTATATATTTACGTACATTTCACCCAGAAAGGGAAGGGCGTTACCATTTGATATCGAGTTGAAGCCAGAACCCTTGGTAGGGGGAGGGTGGGGGTCGTTTTGGTGAAGTATGAAATGACAGAACTCGAGCCCGTGATAAAGGTGTACAGTTGTAATTATTGCGCCAGAGGAGACTGGAGTCGAGTGAGGAAAATTACTTTGCATTGCGTAAGAAAGATACAGTTCTTCAGACCCTGTCCATTTTGTATCTTCTAAAGCTGTTTGGTGTTGTAAATCCATTGATCTTCGTTATGGATGATCCTGCTCTCTTGGGTGAGTACATTCAAATTGTTTTTGCTCGTTAAAATCATTACAGGCCATTGCTCTATGTGTAAATGGTTGGCGATCTTCATAATCATACGAATTAGATCAAAAATATTCTACAAACTCCTTCCAGTGGATATGTTTGTCGTACAAATGTTGATATTCAGTAAGGGATGTTGAATTATTCTGGTGTCTTACAATATGTTTTACGATAATTTTGTCGAATATAATCAACTGGATATAATAAGCTCATGACATAATACAGTACTCTGTACCTACTCAGCAATTTATAGCAAATTTCATGTGATTAATTCGATAAGCTTACGGCACATCAGTTTCACCACTGACTGAGCAGTCAATGTCTCGTTTTGGTACATGAAATGGCTGATTGTCACAGTCAAACATTTGCTAAAATATACCTTGGGTATCACTCCTAGTTGTGCAAGTGCCCTCAGCCCTGGCAGAGTCACCTTTTGCAAGGTCAATGGGTTGATTCAAAAGAACCTTTAAGTTTTAGTTTATTTTGTAATTTATACATTATTAACTTTAACTTTGTAAGTAGAATAGCTAAAATTTTTAGACTTTTAACTGTTAGCTTTTTAGGTATGCAGGGCCCCTCTGGAAACCACATAGGCTACCTGTTAAAATATCTTTATTATTAAAGTTGACATTTCCCAAAAAGTGAAAATCAGAGAAAAGGCTCAGTGTTACATCCCTTTAGTTGAGTCTGTGGGCATGCTTTTCCCCAGAAAAGTTTGTAAACTACGTTAGACTTGTTTGATTTATTTTTAAGCAGTTTTCTAAATTACTAACCTAATGGCTGATTTATTAACATCAAAAATCAATAAAACTGATTTGATGTTGATTTTGTGACATCCACAAAACTAAACAAGACTGTAAATGCCTTCTAGGGACCTTTTGAATTCAGTTATGAGTACCTGCTTAGCCAATCAGATGTAGAATTTGCCAAGTCAGCCTCTAGATCATGCTAAAAGATAATTATGATATATCTAGTGTGTTGATTATAATTTAAAATACCTCATTTTCAATGTTGTGTTTGTTTGTTAGCACTCACTCCACACACTGTGGAAGATCCTGATTCAGCAGCCACTAGACAGCTTGTAAACCCTGAGCGAGTCCACAGACATGAAGATCCTTATGACTTGGTTGTGTTAGCTCAAGAAGTACAGAAAGCTGATCAGTTTGTCCGATGTGCTGCTAGTAATAAACTCATACTGATTGCAGAACAGATTCGTCATCTTCAAGAACAAGTAAGCTTTTCCTGAACAGATTTTAAACCCCTGGCTAATGCTCCTTAAAGGCTGCTGCACACTAGCTGATTTTTTATCATAGAACTGCTGATTTTTTGCTAGGGTCAAATCAGGTTAAAATTTGTCAGGCCAGCAGCTTGCCACACACTAGCCAATTATTTGTCGCAACAAACCACGTTAAGGCTAGGGGCGGAGTCATCCAAAATCAAGATGACACCTATTCCACTGATGTGACTTTCGTGACATTTCCTAATTGGTTGAGACAAATCATCTTGGTCTACCGCACACTAGCTGACAAGGCCCAGCAAGACGTTTTGAGATTTAGCACTGTCAGATATTGCCTGACAAGCCCTGATCTTGTTGTAGCATGTCTGAATTCACCGCACACTAGCCAGGAAAAGGAGATTTTTTGTTGGGCAACAAAAAATCAGCTAGTGTGCGGCTACCATCATTTTATCGTGTAGACTTATCTGATTGTTGGGAATAAAGTAAAATACAAAAATTTGGAATAGTCCATGGAACAAATTTATCTGAATTATCACAAGTCCTGATAGCTAGATACCAGTCTCAACTGGATGGAGTGGTGTTCTCACAGTCCATCTCAATCCAAGTATATAAAAGGGTCCCAGCAAATTGTTGGGGCAACCTAGAAAAAGCCATCTGTAACAATCCATTAAAAGGTAGATAGCAATACTACTTTAAATCTCATGCTTCAAAAGCCAGAATTCAGTACCTGCCTGGAAAGCAATCTAGATATTTTGAATACAGACTTTGTTTTTTAAGCCTCTGACAGATGGTATCAGAAAAAAATGGAGGGAGTTTTAACAGCTCTTAGTGAGAAGAAGTGCTGCCCAATGTCTATATAGCAATGTTTCTGCGAGACTGCGCCATTGGGGGAATCCCTCCTTGCATTCAGAGATGGCCCCCAGAAAAACAAAAAGGCTATTAACAAGGCTATAGGCTTAACACAGGCATAGTATTTTAGAAGCCATCCCAGGACTTGAAATTGCAACTGATACGGTCGCCAATGCAACTAGCATTTCATCCTTGGTGAACAAAACTTCTTGTTTAGTGCCATAATGGCGACTACATTTCTCTGTGTTGACTATCAATAATGGTTATTTTGTCACACATTATGTCCTTCTAGAAAATCATGTTGAAAGATCGTTGCTTCTACAACACTCAACATAAGAAGAGAAGTCAATCCATCCTTTTGCATTGCTGTATTGATTCTCTTACATCACAAAACTTCCAAATGGCTGACCATGTTTTAAGTCGCCTATAATGCATTGCAAACCCTTGATCATTGACTACGTCATGTATGCCTATGGATTGTTCTCTTGTAATGCACAGATCCTTCACATCTGAACAGCCAGGCATGAACAAAACAACAACTGCCACCTTCTGATTCACAAGAAACTTTATTGAGTACAAACACTTCAAAATTTTATCATAGATCTCAATAAACTGCTTTATTTTCCTTGGTGCTCTGATGCATTTTTTTCTTCTGTAGCTTTCAATTAATGGGCTCCTTTCCTAAAAAAATGGCCCCTAAAAAAGGTCTTCAGGGGCCACTTCGGCCCTCAAGTAATATTTTCTGTCTGAAACACTACATATGATATTTTATCTTGTAAATGATTACCACTTTAGACACTGTTTCCCCTAGTTGGGAAGGCCCTCTGGGCCTTCCAAGAAACTACCCACCTGTTTTTCTAAACTACCCTCTTGATCCAAACTTATTGAAACCCCTGGTATAGGGAAAAGTGCAGAAAGATTATCATGGTAAATCATAGGCTTTGTGGTGAAATTAGAAAGACGTTCATGAGCTGGAGATATAGAATTTGATATTGAACGTGTGGCCTTCCAAACACCATGCAGACACTCTATTCTCTGGACTACAATACAAATGCAGCACTATTATTGTAAGTGAAACAAGGTGATGATCACTTGTCTCTTGGATTAAAGGCTGACTATAAATACATTATGTAAAATTATCATAGGTAAGGTAAAGTCTGCATACAAGCCAAGGGGATCATCAGGCCGGAGCTTATCCCAGTTTCTGTAGCATGAAGCGACTGGAAGTATTTCTACTCCCCCCTGGATGGGATGCTAGTCCATCACAGGTTACTTTACCCCCAGCATTAAATTCAACAGTACCAATTTATACACCTGGGTGGAGAGAGGCACTGCGATAGTTAAGTGTCTGACCTAAGAGCACAGCACAATGTCCCTGGTCAGGGCGTGAACCCGGACCGCTTGATCCCGAGTCGAGCGCACTAACAATGAGGCCAAGAAGTGTAAAATTATCATAATTTATGCAAATTTTGTTTTTGTTCAGATGTTTTTTTGTGGACTTTTGAAGTCATTCTGCCACAGGCTAAGACTTACTTTGTTGATTTTCAGGCCAGGAAAGTGTTAGAGGAGACCAAACGAGATGCTGAACTCCACCATGCTGCTTGCAACTTCAAGAAAAGACCAGGCCAAATGTATTACCTGTACAAAAGACAAAATGGAACAACATACTTCTCAATGCTTTCACCAAAGGTAAAAAAAGTATGGATGATTTAGAACATGTTTTACAGCAAGCATGGTCCACGAGCAAGATCTTTACAGCAAAAAGTTAGGCCATTTTAGTGCTCAGACATGATAACAAACCAGACTATAAAATGATGTAGGCTATTTCAAAACTTTGTCAGACAATGTCCACTGAGCAACTGTTATTTCCAGTACTGACTTCCTGTCATCTCATGAAAGAAAATGGTTAGAAAGCTAACTACAGTCAAGTCTAGATAATTTGCAGGCATTTTTCAGTTACCCACACTTTTCCTCATGGTTCTCTTACATTGCTATGGTATTGAATTTGTTTGTGCAGTTAGACTGCTCTTTTAGCTTTTCTCCTCTATAACAACTATTGTCAGTAATTAAAGTGTTTTCATTGAACGTTAATGTGAAAAAGTGAATAGTGTAATTGTAAGTAAACTCAACTGTAAAGTAGTGGTAGAAGTTGGTAATAAGTTAGTTAATGTTGTATTTGGTGTGAAATTTTATGAAAGAGAAACATAATGCTAGTTATGTTAGTATTGTAAGTAACATTAGTAACAAATAGGGGGGACAGGGGGCGGGAGCCCGGGATAATCGGGGGGGGCAGAGGGTCAGAAAGCAAAGGGCAGGAAAGACCAGGAAGTGGGAGAGGAAAGGGCAGGAAGCGGAAGAACCCAAAATGTTTCTTGACTTACATTTAGCTTATTTTGAGACTTCTGGACTGACGGAAAAATAAAAATTTGCTCTTGGGCTGAAAAATTGAGGCCTACTTCCAGTAAAATTGGAAACCATTTTACGGTGGTTACGTCATAGGTCATGAAATGTGAGACATGAGATGTTAAAAAAAAATGAGAAATGTGAGACATGTCAATCATGTTATCTGTGTCTAGTACATGTATAAGACATGAGTAAGAAGAGCAAGGCTGAAAAGAAAGGAAAAAAGGAAAAGAAACGCTTAAAGATTGTGCAGCTAAATGACAAGGATGTGTTTTGAGTATCCTTATTTACAGGAGCAAGATGGACAAGGGTGGGAGCTGGGAGATAAAGGTACGGGAAGTGGGAGAGCAGGGTATGGGAAGCGGGAGGTTCTGATCCCCTGTCCCCCTCCCCCCACAATATACAGAGGTCATGTAATGGTACAGTTAGTAATGTGCAGTATTGTAAAGACCCTGTAAACTTGTTAGTAATGCTAGTATTGTAAGTAGCTTTATATTTACTTCAGCTCATCCACAAGTGAGCTTTGTGTTTAATTGGGTGCTCCTAAAACAGTAAAAACTATACAAAGAGGGTTAAAGTTTAAACTAAAATCTATATTTACAATAATAAAATCTAATTTAAATTTAAGAACAATCTGACCTTACAAGTAACTGGATTAAACATTAAATTAACTCTAAATTTGCACTAGCATTAGTAAAAATATTGTAAGAATTGTTGCTGTTGTAAGTATTTTTAGTGATATAAGTAAGGTTCTTATAAGATTAAATTTGGTAAGGTTAGTATTGTAAATAAATGTATGTAAAAAATGTTGGCAGATTTTACTGATGTGAGTTTCTTTGACAGGAATGGGGCCCAAGCTGTCCTCATGAGGCATTAGGATCTTATCGACTTGAAGCTGACATGTCTTGGACTAAAGCTGAGGATGTCGAGCGACGTAGCAAAGACATCGCTTTGGTGGACCAACTGCTTTCAGCAGAGGTTCCAGCAATTGAATATGTTCTACCACCACACAAGAACAATGGATTTTCTGCCAAGGCAGCTCTTAAACATAAGACTGTGATTGAAGATGTTAGTGATCAAACAGAACCGATTGTTGAAGAACCACAGTAAAGGAAACTCAAAACAGACATTTACAACAAGCTTTTAGAATGACAAAAGAATGAAAGCAACTGTCAAAGCCACATGTTTTTAAAATTTGAGCAATGGACTTCATATGTTTGGCTTGTAGTACATAAACTACAGAAACAATTGATGAAGCCAGTGAGTTGAAGCAAGCATTTACCTTGTATACTGTAGATCTACTAAGTCTGTCACTGGCCACTGAGAACAAGTTAAGATTTTGCTCAAGTAGATTTCAGATTTGTCATGGAAATTGGTATTAACATATTCCTTTTAGAGTGGTTTTCAATTGTGTCATAAAACCAAAACCAAACCAACTACTTGCCAATTAGACCACTTCACCAATCTCAAGCAGCAGTAAAACCAAAACCAAACTAATTGCCTGATTACTCTCAACGCTCATTTGAAAACTGCTATAAGGCTGATAATTTCAACATTTTTAAAATTAGATTGGGTCAGACTTAGTAACAAAAAATATATAAGTATTGTCATCTGTATCATAATAATAATAATAATAATAATAATAATAATAATAATAATAATAATAATAATAATATCAGACCAATGGTTGCTGTGCAGTATTACAAATTAATGTCCTCAGAAATATCTATTTTTTTGTGTGGCTTATCTATTTATTATATAACTATTGATTATCTAAATCAATCGTGATAGTATGTGTCAAAAGCAAGAACTGAACAGAAGTGATGAACTGATTGATGCAGTATCCCTGGGGAGACTTGTCCTCTTTTCTCAGCTGAGACACATAACCAGGTTCCAGGGGACCAGCAGTGCTAAAAGCATAATTTCAAGCACTTTTGTAAAGGAGCTCCCCCACTCTGGGTGTTGCACTAAGTTCAAAACCATATATCATTTATAAGCCAAAGACAGTCACGTGGTCTGGACTTCAGTAATGTTAATCGCATAGCAATGTTTCAGTGGATTTAGCAAGAAACTGCAAGAGCTTGTTGATAAAAAAAAAATGCATCTGGTTTGGGAACGTGACAAACCAGACTGGCACAGTTTCGTACATAAGACTGTCTTTTGCCGAATGTGTAATGCATAAAAGGCATTTACTTGCAAGCAACTCCTTCACCAAATATAAGCAGGTATTTTTTTAAAGAGTACATAATGGATCATGATGATGGTATTATATTTTACAATTGTATTTAATGTTATTAATTTTAGCTTGATTCCCATGGATGGTGCATTGCACACTTTGGCAACAATTCTTTATAGCAATAAACAATAAGGAATTAATGACGTACGCGTTTTAGAAATATTTTGGAAATACTGGTAAGATATCTATCCTGACACTATATTAAAATATATCCTCATAAGTGTTTGGGTCAACCTTAAAAAATCATTTACAGTTTTCGAGTAATTTCAGAACTCTTACCGTAAACTTTATAAACTTTGACGGTCTTAACACTGCAATTTTCCCAGTTACTGTACACACAACGGTTTAACTCGAAAACTTTTACCCAAATCTTGAATCATCTTTTTCAAAAGTGTAGAAAATTCAAGCATTTCCGACAGATATAGAAACAAAAAGCAGCATCACTAAAGCAAAGTGACGCTCTTATCTCTTTCATTGTTAAAAAGTGTATTCTTGTTGGTGATGCGTGTTTTAACAGCACGGGAAGAGCATTTCAACAAGAAACGTTTGAATGCTGAAAGAGATCCCAACCGTCGCGTTACATGATACAACTGACTAAGGACGCATAAATTACCACATACTTATGCAAGTTCTTATTCATTCATGTACATTCCTATACGTTGCATTCTTCTTCCGTTCCTTTCTTAATTGCGCCTTATTGAAGCACGCGCTCTGCTACGTTGTGTTACGTTAGTGATGCGACCTCTCTTTGCTCTGTTTGATTGTTACGTTAGTGATGCGCACTTTGTTTTGTGTTTGATTGTTTGCGTCAGTAATGTGCGCTTTGTTTCTTTTCTGTTTGATTGTTTACGTGAGTACTGGGTGCTTTCATTGTTTTGTGTTTTGATTGTTTACGTTAGTAATGCGCTCTCTCTTTGTTTTGTGTTCGCTTGTTTACGTTAGTAATACGCGTTTCCTTTGTTTTGTATTTATTTGTTACCCTAGTGATGCTCGTTTTCTTTGTTTTCTGTTTGATCGCTTACGTTAGTAATGCGCGCCATCTTTGTTTGTATTCGATTTTTACGTTAGTGATGGATAATTTCTTTGTTTTGTGTTTTAATTATTACCTTAGTGATGGTCGCTTTCTTTCTTTGTGTTTAATTGTTACCCTAGTGATGGTCGCTTTCTTTGTTTTGTGATTAATTGTTTCGTTAGTGATGCTGGCTTTCTTTATTTTGTGTTTAATTGTTACCTCAGTAATGCGCGTTTTAATTGTTTTGTGCTTAATTGTTACGTTAGTAACGATCGCTCTCTTTGTTTTGTGTTTAATTGTTACCCTAGTGATGCGCGCTTTCTTTATTTTGTGTTTAATTGTTACCTTAGTAATGCGCGCTTTCTTCGCTTTGTGTTTAATTGTACCTTAGTAATGCGCGCCTTCTTTGTTTTGTGTTTAATTGTTACGTTAGTAACGATCGCTCTCTTTGTTTTGTATTTAACTGTTGTCTTAGTGATGGTCGTTTTTTTTCTTTTGTGTTTAATTGTTACGTTAGTGATGCGCGCTTTCTTTATTTTGTGTGTAATTGTTACATTAGTGTATCTCGCTTTCTTTGATTTCTGTTTGATTGTTACGTTTGTAAAGAGCTTTCTTTTTTTGATTCGTTGTTACGTTAGTGATGCGCTCGTTCTTTGCTTTGTGTTTGATTGTTACGTTAGTGATGCGTACTTTCTTTGTTTTGTCTTTGATTGTTACGTTTGTAAAGATCTTTGTTTTTTGATTCATTGTTACGTTAGTGATGCGCGCTTTCTTTATTTTGTGTTTAACTGTTACGTTAGTGTGCCTCGCCTTCTTTGATTTGTGTTTGATTGCTACGTTTGTAAAGAGCTTTCTTTGCTTTCTGATTCGTTGTTACGTTAGAAATGCACACTTCCTTTGTTTTTTGTTTGTTTGATACGTTAGTTATTCGCGCTTTCTTTGTTGTGCATTTTTTTGATACGTTAGGGATTAGCGCTTTCTTTGTTTTGTGTTTGATTGTTACGTTAGTAATGTGCGCTTTCTTTGCTTTGTGTTTGATTGTTTTGTTAGTGATGGCACTTTCTTTGCTTTGTGTTTGATTGTTACGTTAGTTATTTGCTCTTTTTTTTGTTTTGTGTTTAATTGTTACATTAGCAATGTTCGCTTTTTTTGTTTTGTATTTGTTTGATACGTTAGCGATTAGCGCTTTCTTTGTTTTGTGTTCGATTGTTTTGTTAGTAATGGCGCTTTCTTTGCTTTATGTTTGATTATTACGTTATTGATGCCCGCTTTCTTTGTTTTGTATTTGATTGTTAGTGATGCGTGCTTTCTTTGCTTTGTGTTTAATTGTTACGTTAGTTATTTGCGCTTTCCTTGTTTTATGTTTAATAATATACATGAAAAAATTACTGGATTTTGATTGGCTAAGAACAGTGTAGTTCAAGTGTAACAGCAGTGCAAAAAGTGTAACATCGCTGCAAAAAGTGTAACATCAGTGCAAAAAGTGTAACACCAGTGCAAATTACACATCGCAATTCTAGATTAAGATTGGCTGAAAGAAAATAGGAAATTTTCTAAGCCAATGATATCACGTGAAATGATGACGACAATTTAGTGCAGAAACTTTGATAAAAGTTTCCTCGAATGAGAAAAAATGGCTTCAAGAAAGATCTTCCGGCATTTCCTCCACGCGAATTTTTTCATGTTTATATTATTAATAAGTAATCATACGGTTTTTCTCGTTCAGTTTGGAATTAATTAGCACTTGTGAGGTTTTCAAAAAGCTCACTCGTGCAAATTAATTCCAAATTGAACTCGAAACCGGCTGATTACCTATACTAATTGTTACGTTGGTGATGCGCGCTCTCTTTGTTTTGTGTTTAATTGTTGAGTTGGTGATGCGCGCCTTCTTTGTTTCGTGTTTGATTGTTACGTTAGTGATGCGCGCTTTCTTTGTTTTGTGTTTAATTGTTGAGTTGGTGATGCGCGCCTTCTTTATTTTGTGTTTGATTGTTACGTTAGTGATGCGCGCTTTCTTTGTTTTGTGTTTTGAGTTTAGAGTTCTTCCCTGCGGATTTTCGAGCAAAAGGCGACCCCTTGCTGATTATTTCCGTATTACTGTTTCGATAATTTTTCTCTTCCTCTTTCATTGGTTTTTCATTATTACGTTAGTAATGCTTTGCTCTTTTGTTTTGTTTGATTATTATTTTCGTCCTGCTCGCTGTTTTTTTTGTTTAACTGTTATCTGATGCCGCCCATTCTCTCGTTCTTGTGAATGTTTATAACTTTGCACGTGACTGCCTAGCAGCACATAATTGCTGAGCGAGCAACACGTTTTTATACCTACTTGTAAAATAGAAAAATATGATAGTGGTATAATAAGTATAATTGTAACAACACTGTCAGTCAATCAGTCTCCCAGGCTTTTAAAGCGTCCGAGGGAATCAAATCTTCCTAAACTGATGCGTAGGCAAAGCTCGGAAGTAGTTCGTGCGCGGCTTTTACAAGTCTAGTTTGATCTCACAAGAAAAAAAAGGCGACGCGCATATATATACAGGGCATGATGCAGACTCGTGGAAGTACGACAGAACGTTTGGGAAAATCAAAGCATTTATGCGGTCGATTCACAGGCGCCGTAGGGTTAATATAAGTTAACATAATACTATCAAATTCTCTCAAGCTCTTTCGAGTGTTCTCATCAGGCCTTGTAAACAAATATCGGTTGCTTTCATGTTTTTTACCTTATAAAATAAAGGTAACACGTTGTACTGATTCTTCATGAACGTGTTTTCATCAACGAACCGATACAAACCTTCTATACAAAGCGCCTTCACGACATGAATCAGAGCCTTCGTTATATGGTTATACCACCGCAATTTTAGTCACATCTATAATTGTCTCTAACCTGATTGGTTCTTTGCAAGCCTTATTTTTCTCCAAATGAGCCTGCGTGGCTGTAGCGAGATTCTGGAGATTTTGCGTTTTGTTTCGGTTGTACGAGGTGCACTTTCTGCTATAACTCTGGCAAGCTAAAAGCCTCGGGGAATTTTTTGCATAGCAGCTTCACCGCTGAACGAAGCATTTGCACGCGAAATCCTGTCAGCTTGGAACAGTTATGGTGTCTGTTAATGACAGAGTGTCCAATAACAGAATTCGGCTTCTCGTGACTGAATACTTCTTAAACCTTTTAGAATTTTTTTTTTTTTCCTAAGCAAAGGGTTTCTTTAGGTGAAAATCGTAAACAGGCTTCAAGTTTTGACAAACTATGTTGGAATACGAATACGAAAATACTCATCAAATAAATCCATCAAGCGTTCTTATTAATTTTCCTCTCTTCACGACCGCGAAAAAGAACGCAAGAGAGCAGGTCATGTTTTAAAGGAACTTTGTTTCGTCTAATGCTGTCTACCAAATGATACTCGTGATTAAGCCAATAGGATTGCCGCTATGAATCGTATGATTACAGTCTAAATTCGGACCCCACTCAGTTTTATTTAGAATTTCTCATCAGACTATAACGGGTATCAGGCCATTAGGCTTAGTACTCAAGCATTTGGATATGTTGCTCCAGACTAAATTAAATTTTTGAAATTTCACTTTGGCTTTTCTTTTCATCATTTGCTGGACTCTGATAGATGGATAGTAAGAGAAAAGTATTTAGGTTATTAGTTTAATAAAAGGCTCTGAAAGAGGGTAAAAATTTAATATTTGATCGCTTTTCCTTAGGTAATAGAATTACCCAGAAAGTAGGCAAAACATAATAATTTTGAAGCGAAGAAAACTGAGTACACGGAACTACAATAGAAATTACAGACATTCACGTGAGCAACGCATGGTTACCGAGTGACTCTGTAAATTTAGTACTGTACATATGTAGACCCTTATACTCATCCCATATTCATTTTCCTGTTTCTAAAGACTTTCTAAATCAGAAAATATTGGGGTTTTTAATCCCACGCAATGGTTTCCCGCTTCATTGCACAAGTTATTGTGAACGTGGATTTGATTGGTCTAGACATAAACTTATAAACCTGGAGGTGAATATTCATTTTGTAACCTCCCAATTTCGACACTTTCAGAAGACACAGTCGTCTCGAAGCACCTGGGAATCACTGAAAAAAACATGGCGGCACCAAAGTGAGTTGACATTTTTGCTTCTTTTCCAAAGAATCACGTCGAAAATCTTCGAAATTAGTGACTTATTTTGAGCGTTGTGAGCCCGTGATGTGATGTTGCATACTTCAAAATGGCGTTATCGCCGAGTCAGTGACCTTCGGCAAGCGATTGAAAGCCCTCCAAGTTGCAAAATGTCTAGGCCTTGCCAGAGTTCTCAACGTCTTTCTCTAATTTCTTCTCATTTGTATCGCAGGGCGGACATTGCATTGATCGGTTTGGCCGTAATGGTAGGTCGAATCATTTTGATAGACGCTGACATAATCTTGGCAATAACCTTATATTGTATGAGCACAGAAGTGTACTCACGCTATATTTTCTTCTTTTCTGTCAGGGCCAAAACCTTATCCTAAATATGAACGACCATGGTTTTGTGGTAAGCCTTACCTTTGTATAATATCTTGCCTGATATAGTTTTACATCTTCCATTTAAATTTGACCTGTAGTGTTGTATGACTTCATTTAATTGTTGAGCTCACTAATATAAACTGTTTGTCATAGTTTGTATAGTTTTTGTGCTGCTCTTTATAAACAGACTTGCACATGCATGAATTTTGTTTTTTAATTAAAGTTATGTGGGTGAAGTTGATCTTTGCTAAATATTACAGTTGCTTTACCTGCAATTTCACAATTAGGACAACAGCTAGAAATGCAGTTTTTGCATCACTGGTTTAATTAATTCACTCTTATTATTCCTTGTTCAATAAAGTTTGTCAACATGCATATGTGTCATTGAAGGGAATGTGGTCCTGTGGCCCCTGTGATTTTTTCTTTAAAATAGACCACAGTCATTCGATTTATCAATATTCTAACATGGCTCTGAGGCTATTTGGTGGTGTTTACTTTGTATCTAAGTCTCTTCTGGGAACTGAGGGACAAAAGAAACTTAACAAATTTGCAATGTTGTCCTAAAAGCCTTGGAGCCATGTTAAAACATTGATATATCAAATGTGGCCTATTGATAATGACTCAGGTAAAATATTCATAAACCAATCACAAATTGGCATTAGCTGAACTACAATCAAACCATTGTTTTAATTCAATCAAGTCCAATATATTTTCCTGTTAACTGAATCCATTTAAACATTTCAGTTTTCCTGAATAAGAAATTATTGACTTGCACATGTTACTCTAACTTGCAACCATTATTTTCAATTTTATATTTTCTTTCATTGTTATGGAATATCCACATTTTATAGATATATTTGCTCTCTTTAATTTGTTTTTAGGTCTGTGCTTACAACAGGACAGTGGAGAAGGTGGACAAATTTTTAGCAAATGAAGCCAAAGGTAACAAATAAATGTTCCTTTTAAACAATTTGTATACAGTCTCAAGCCACTCTTATGTGGACACCAAAGAAGCAGACAGACCTGAATGTCCATGTTTCGCCATCTTCCAAAGTCTTGAATTTACCATCAACCACCTTTTGTATCGTGTTGGTGTCTGTATTACACAGGTAAAGATTGTGTGAATTCTGGTTTCGCTGGAACCAGTTAAACTGTCCGTAATGTAGAGCTGTCTGTAACAAGAGGTTAGACTGTTTACANGACCTCGGTCAAGATTCTCCTATACAGACCTCCAGCTCGGTTAATAAGAGCTAAATTTAAGGCATTTTCTCCTGCTTCCCAAGTCCTTCTATCTCGATTCCCAGTTGTTAGTTATGGGTATTTTTTTTCTCGCCTCTTGTTTTGTAAGAAATCCTCGGACCTTGCCAGAAATCACCTCAACTCAGCTTATCAGAATTCCTCCAATGCTCCAACTCACTAAGGCTGAAATTTTATGTTATCGCGGGAAATCACTTTAATCTACCACTACTCTAGCATAATAAACAAATAAATAAAAGTTCAATCTTTACCAACACCTTGTTAATGTTGGAAATCATTATCATAAAATGACATTCTTGAGTGATAAAAGTTGACACGTATAAGAAAAGAAATGTAATGAAACCCTCCTTTTTCCCCAGGAACAAAAGTTATAGGTGCAAAGTCAATGAAGGAGATGGTAGCCACGTTGAAAAAGCCACGACGTGTGATGATGTTGGTAAAAGCTGGTTCTGCTGTCGATGCCTTTATTGAACAGTTGGTAAGTCCTTACAAACTCTTTCGTTGTTCCACCCACCATTCATCATGAAGTACCGTAAATTATATATAGCTGCGGCAATAATTAATTGCTTATGGCACTTAACAAAAATTCAAATCACTTTAGTTAGTTTACATCCTGATCCATGTTCTGTACATTAATTATTTTCCACTTCTAATTCTTAAATTGGTAACTAAATAAGGGATTAGTCTTTAATTTCTTCCTACGATACCAGCACATTGTCAACAAGACAAGTAATGAGAATAAAGAAAATCATCAATTTGAGGATCATTCATGTACCACTTACTTCTCAATGCCAGCAATGGACTCTGGATTGAGCTCACTGTGTTGTGTTCTTGGAAAAGACAGTTTACTAATGTCAGTTGTATCTACAATCATGGACAAAAGCAGTTGAGACACTCCCTGAAAAAGACCTGTTTCATTGAACGGGTGTGTTTTTCAATCTCCAATTTCACATTTCGACCCCCTCTCCCCTTTTCAATGTTGTAACCACGTGACAGTGTCCATGGAGCACATTTTAACATTGAAAAGGGGGAGAGGGGGGTTTGGCTATCAACAAAAAAGATGTTTTTTGAAATTACAGAAGGACGCTGATAGAAAGGGTTTGTTTTGCTCAAATGTGTCAACACTTTTGTCCATGATTGTAGATACTGGTGAATTCAATGCTGACAGTATCCCTGCGATGGACTTGCATCCCATCCAGAGGGCAGTAAAAATACTCATTTAATTGCTTTACTCTTAGCTTCATGAGACCAGATACTTGATCTGTTTTTACATTATGTATATACACGTGCAGTGAAGCAGAAGCTTTGATTAAACCACTCAGGGAGTCTGGGTTGAGGATGGACTTATCTTTTTGTTGTATTGGCAGGTACCTCTTCTGGAAGCTGGTGACATTATTATAGATGGAGGCAACTCAGAATACAGGGACTCAATTGTGAGTAATTAATAGAGTACCAAACGTTATAGAAAAAAGATGGGCAGGCATTTTATTTTTTCAGCCAGAATGTCAAGTTAAACTACTAATGATGGGTCAAATATCATTGTAGCATAATTAAAATAACAATAAAATTGCATAGCTTAATTTTTCAACTTTTCAAAATACTTTTTGTAAACAATTTGAAAACAGAGACGCTGTAAGGACCTAGAATCCAAAGGACTGTTATTTGTTGGAAGTGGAGTGAGTGGAGGTGAAGATGGTGCACGGTATGGTCCATCTCTCATGCCTGGAGGGTCTGACAAGGCCTGGTATGTTGCATTTGATTGCGTCTAGTGATTCTCTAGCAGTAACAGTTGTACATCTCATTAGACAATTCTATATCTATCGACTTCTTGAGAAAACAAAAAATACCCCATTTTAATCTCAGAGTAAGGAAACTGAGATTCCTCTCAGGAAGACCTGTGCAGCATTCAGTAGTGCATTCCTTCACTAACAGATTACAATAACAAGCCAAGATGTTAGCCAAGAAGACTGTATGTCCAATGATATTTATTATCATCATCATCACTGGTAGTTTTTCTTAGATAGGGAAAAAAATATCAGTTTCTTTCTGTTGACACTTCTAAGTCAGAAGTGCTAACTCTGTTTGGGCTTATTGCATAAATGGAAACTAAGATGTTTGTACTTTTTCGTTTTTTTTTGGGACTTGTTCCTCCTAAAGTTAGCCAGTCTTAGGCCCCATGTACCTAATCTGGATAAATTTCAAAACAATGGTCCGCAAAAAACAGACAAACTGTTTTTGGTCCACTCTTATCTACATAAATTTGAAAATGCAGCTTTCCTCCCTTGGTTTAGCCCTTCATGCATTCTAAAATGGCCCCAGAACAGCACAGTAGAACATGTGTACATGATGTGAACTGTGCTTAATTCTTCTTTGTGCTATCAGTACTGTATTTTCGGAAAGATCTATTTGCAACACCTATCTAGCACATTCAAATTTCTCCACTCTGGAGACCGCTTTTGGTAGAGCACAAGTTTTAGTGACCAACATTGACATTCAATGCAAAACCAGAGAAAAGTACATAAATTTTGAAATTAATCCAGATAATTAGTGTGAATTGGGCAAAATCAAACAACTTATTAGACATGCATCTAAGTAGATAAGTGACCCTGCCAACTATGTTTTTTTTTTTGCACTCATTAGGGCTCACATCAAGCCAATCTTTCAGTCAATAGCAGCAAAAGTTGGATCTGAACCATGCTGTGATTGGGTAAGAAATGTTGCTGAAGTGTTGTTGAAATCTTGCTTTCAAGGGACATTTTCCTAGGATTGTAGAGAACTTCAAAGGCCATGTCTACAGACATGTTTGTAAACTTAATGTTTTCACTCTGAAGAAAACGTCGCTACAACTAAAACCTCACAATGCGAGTTTCTTTTTTTGTCTCAATATCTTGTGTTTAGGTTGGTGGAGATGGTGCTGGACACTTTGTTAAGATGGTACACAATGGCATTGAATACGGAGATATGCAGGTAGGAGATCAATATTTTAGGTTGTAGCAAACTTGTCTTAACACATTGGGTCAGAGAGATGGCATGTATTTTAACAACTTGACGTCAGTTTT